GGCCTCCAACCTACTAGCAATGGCCTCCAGCCTAGTGGCGATGGCCTAATAGCAATGGCCTCCAACCTAATAGCAATGGCCTCCAACCTAATAGCAATGGCCTCCAACCTACTAGCAATGGCCTCCAACCTACCAGCAATGGCCTCCAACCTAATAGCGATGGCCTCCAACCTAATAGCAATGGCCTCCAACCTAATAGCGATGGCCTCCAACCTAGTAGCAACCTTCTTGCTACCTAAACGAATAAACATCCTCCAAGGCCAAGGGGCACATCCAGCTTCAGGCCGGCACCAGTGAGGACCACTTCTCCTATGAGGTTCTTGGTGCACTCTGAGGCCTGCAACATGTGTCATCCGTTCACAAGGCGTGAACACAGGAATGGTCAAGAGTCAATGGATTACAACTAAAAATTATGTATATTTATATAAATATATTTTATAGCAGTTCATGGGCTGAGCTAAGGGTTGCCTGCGACAGCAGTTGCAAAAGCAGCCCAGGGAGTCGAAATTTGATCCTGGGCTGGCACAGGGAGATCGAAGGCTCTGACGGTTAACAGTCCGTATCGATCTTGCTGCTTCCCTGCGGCAACCCTTTACCCCTCAACCGGCGAACGAGGTGCTCTCCCGTGGCACAAAGTGAACATCCCAAAACCACCTGAGATGCACTTGCACGGCAATTGTTCACTCGTGTGTGTGTGTGTGGGAGAAAAAGGACAGTCTGCAGCGTAGCAAATGCAAAAACATGCAACAGCAGCAGCTGCCTGGCATGGCCTGCCGAGTCGCAATCGCTAAAATGCAGGACTTCATCCAGCTGAACTTCTGGAGTCCGATGATGCACGAAGCAACAAAGACGATGACCACGTTGCCTGGCACAGGTTGCAGGTAGCAGCTTGCAACCTCGCTGGGTGGCGGGTTGAATGGCACCGCCTTACCACTCGATCTAGCTGCGCCTTGTTTGCAGAACTGGAGGAAGGCTACAGAGGAATAGAAGTAGGCTTTGTTGGAGCAGAACCTAAGATGCTCAAAAAAAACTGAGAGCCACCCGTGCTTGAGACTGCCACTGACAAGCTTTCCAGGGTGGGCGTTGGTCTAAGGCACAAGGCAACTGCAAAGAGAATGCCCAAAGGAGCCAGAAACTTGGCTAGCTGTGTAAAGTTCTCCTTGGCCTTTTGCATGGAAGGGTAGATAGATGGTGTCACGGAATACCTCAGCCATCCATTTTCGAGTGTGGCTAGAGCGTTCGGAACTCTCTCAGTGAGCCAAGGCACAACAGAAAGGATAGGAATGTCGTCGTTGCCATATGGATGGCAGTCAGTTGAACAGCATGTGGAAAGCGGCCTTCTTGCATGAGGTATTTGTTGAAGGTGATCAAACCTGCAAACGGCCCCAAGACAAGCCCGGCTCAAATGCAAAAGACAAACGATGATGAGACGTCGTTCCAGCCTGCTGAGACCACGATGTATGTGCTACCAATGATTAGAACCTCCATGACCTTCTCCATCGTGCCCATCGCCGAGCGTTCGCTACCTAGTCCGGGAAAAATGCGTGTGACTCGCGCAGCAAGCTGCGCAGCCTGTGAGCCAAAGAGTTTTGCGGCGCGGAGCGAATGAGTTTGATGAGAGGCCTTCGGTCATTTTTGTGGATGTTTAGTGAGAAATTGGTTAAATAAAAGAATTCCGGCCAAACAAATCCGAAGACATCAGGGCTTCAGCTGCACGCCTGAGCAATCCTCAGCATCCAACCGTCGATTGGCCATGACCTTGAGAACACCTGCCTGCAGCTTGCCTCACACAACTCGGCTGCCATGACTATTTCACTGCCATCCCAAAAACGAAGTCCCTCCTACTTGTTCTCCTCTCAGCTTCCCTGTGTGAATGCCCAGGCGGTGCTCCAACCCCTACCACTATAGTCTATAGTCTATAGTTGCTTAATAACACCGAGAGACCTCACATCCATCATCGTTTATCACTGTCTAGCATCCATGTGTCCAAATGATTCCAACTGTATTTCCTCCTACTTCCCCATTCCCCACTGCCTGTCGCTTTCTTCTTGGGGACTCCTCGCTCCGCACCTTAGGAACAAGGGGATTATGGCCAAAGGAAGCTCCACGTTGACCACACCATCCCGAAAATCACCCCACATTCCAAGTGCCGGATGCGGGCATTCTTGTGCTCCAACTCATGGAAAAACATGGCCTGAGGCCCTCCAAGCAGTAAGTTGCTCAGCCCAGTTGCTTTGAGTCTCTTTGTGCTCTTTGTGGAGCTTTCGGAAAAGTGCTCGGAATTGCGCAACCTGGCACATGCACCAGTTTTTATGGGTTTTGAAAGCTTCTGCTTCCACTGGCTTCACTCTTTGTCTGACATCGCCCGAAGGCCAATGTGAGTTCGATGTCACGGAATGCCTTGATAGATTCACACGATGTTGGGCGATACTGCTGCACACGGAGTGGTGTTGAGTCATGCTTCGAGGGCAAAAGGGTGTCGAGGGTGTAGAAGTCTAGCGAATAGAATCAGGGATGAGAGAAAAGCAAAAGGCATCCTGCAGATCAAGAAAGGTGTGTGTCGTAGTTTGGGAACTTGTTTGGCATGAGTCATGAGTACTGAACAATGGCTACTCATCGCTGAAGCAACAAATCACAAGCCAAGTGAGATGAACAGACCCTGGAGGTCATGACAACAAAATATTGCCTCCCCCTTGCTGAACTTGAGCTGTGAGAGGACATCGTTCTCCTGCCGCACCGAGCTTCGATGTCTCATAGCAGTCTACCTTCCCCCCAAGAGCGCCCTGTCAACGACAAGCACGCCCTGAATTTGGGGTTGGTGTAGGCAAACGTAGACTCATGTATACATGTCACCCCGCCTTGACGGTGACTTGCCACAAATGCCTTTCAGGCTGACCGCACTGCTTCTTACAGGCGCTAGTGAAACGCTAGTTAGAGTGAGTCAGGGGTCAAGGGACAAACAAGTGACAAACATTGTCCTTTTCACTCAACGAAACTCGCCGTTGTCATGGCCGTCAGCCTCTGCACCATTTGCCGTACGAAATGCAAAACGGCCATGAAGTGAACGCCTTGGAAAGGTCGGGTCTCCACGCTCGTTTGTTTTGGTCGCCGACGAAATCACCGGAACCACTGGTCACATCTTCCACCAAGCTTCGCGGGCAGTTTTCCTCTCCGGATTCCTTGGCTCAAGTGCAGTATACAAGCACTAGGATCATCAGGACCTGCAAGAATCTGTGGTACTTTGGCTGTCATTTTTTGAAAGCACCTGTCAGAAATCCCACCTTGACGTGCCGATCGTAGAATCTGTCGCACCCAAAACGCACTGGATTTGGTAGAGCTTGGCTAGTCAGGTGATTCAAAAACAAACCTCCATATCATGGCCTGTGTGAGGAGTGGGTTGCACAGCACTGCATATGACCTTGTTCCTTGAATTTCAGCTTCATGTTTCAGAACAATGCCCCAGTTGGTTCAGGCGTGTTTCATCTGTTTCGCCCGTGGTTTGCACATCACTTGGCCGCGCGTCGTCCTACAATGTCTGACACTTACTTCAGGTTGGAGGCCATCGCTGCTAGGGTGGAGGCCATAGCTATTAGGGTAAAGGCGATGGCTACTAGGGTGAAGGCCATTTGCTACTAGGGTAGGGGCCATTGCTATTAGGTTGAAGGCCATCATCGCTGGAGACCATCGCTATTCCACTGCTATTAGGTTGGAGGCCATCGCTTGTAGGTTGGAAGCCATGGAAGCCATTGCTACTAGGTTGGAGGCCATCCCTACTAGGGTGGAGGCCACTGCTATTAGGGTGCTATTAGGCCATCGCTACTAGGGTGGTTGCTACTAGGGTTGCTCTTTGGGGTGGAGGCCATTGCTATTAGGTTGGAAGCCATCGTTACTAGAGTGGAGGCCATTGCTACTGGGTTGGAGGCCATCACAAGGTGGAGGCCATTGCCATTGGATCGGAGGCCATCGCACTAGGGTGGAGGCCATTGCTATTAGGTTGGAGGCCATCGCTATCAGGGTGGAGACCATTGCTAGTAGGGTGGAGGCATCGCTATTGGGTTTGCGGCCATTGCTATTAGGGCGGAGGCCATTGCTATTAGGCAATTACTGCTAGGGTGGAGGCCATTGCTATGAGGTTGGAGGCCATTGCTCTGAGGGTGGGGGCCACGCTACTAGGGTGGAGGCCATTGCTACTAGGTTGGAGGCCATCGCCACTGGGGCGGAGGCCATTGCTATTAGGGTGGAGGCCATCGCTACTAGGGTGGAGGCCATTGCTATTAGGTCGGAGGCCATTGCTATTAGATTCGAGGCCATCTCTGCTAGGGTGGAGGCCATTGCTATTAGGCCATCGCTACTAGGGTGGAGGCCATTGCCATTGGGTTGGAGGCAATCACTACTAGGCTGGAGACCATTGCTATTAGGCCATCGCTACTAGGGTGGAGGCCATTGCTATGAGGCCATCGCTACTAGGCTGGAGGCCATTGCTATTGGGCCATCACTGCTAGGGTGGAGGTGGAGGCCATCGCTATTAGGGTGGAGGCCATTGCTATTAGGGTGGAG